CAACTGACCATTAACACACATGATAATATAACCCAGAAACCAACCCAGCTATGGAAGTATCCAAAGTAAATAAGCCTACAAGATTGTAAACAGGAAACCAGAGACATCACTTGACAAATGAAGACAACTACAAACCAAAAAGAGGGAAAACATTGTATTGTTACAGAACTTCTAGATGGTAGAGAAGTTAAGACAACTACAAGATAGAATGGATTGTTGTAAACTTGGGAAGAAAACTATAAATCACAGGGTACCTCAAAGAAAAATGATAAACCTTCACATCAAAATAAAAAAGAGAACTAGCACAAATATTCAGCAAATACTAAAACAATAGCAATGAAGGAAGTAATAACATGATTCATAAACAAAATGAGTTCAGCATAGAAAATTATATGGAACAAAGAAATCGACACCATGAAAAAGCACATAACAAAAATGACAGCAAGAAATTCATATTTGCCGATAATTACATATCTGGCAAGGGACTTATCTCTAACATTTTTGGAAAACTCCAATACCTCAACACCAAAGGAATTAACAATCCAATTGAAAAATGGGCAGAAGACACGAATAGACACTTCACCAAGGATATTCGGGTGGCCAGCTAATACATGAAGAGATGCTCACAATCATTGGCCACCAGAGAGATGCAAATCAAAACAACAATGAGATACTGTCTCACCCCAGCACTGATGGAAAGGTTCAACAAGATGGAAAATAACAAAAGCTGACAGGGATGTGGAGAGATCCACTGCTGGTGGGATTGTGAAGTGATACAACCACTGTGGAAAGTAATATGGAGATTCCTTAGCAAGCTGGAATTGGAGATACCTTTTGACCCAGCAATCCCATTACTAGGTATATATCCTAGAGAGGTGCGAGCCAGGATAGGAACAGATATATGCACATTCATGTTCATCACAGCACTATTTACAATAGCAAAAAGATGGAAACAACCTAAACATCAGCGGAAGAGTGGATGACTGAACTATGGTGCGTACACATAATGGATTGCTATGCAGCACTAAAGAATAAGGTAGAGTATGCAAAACACCATATAATATGGATGAACTTGTAGGACATTGAGCTGAGTGAAATAAGTCAATTACAGAAGGACAAATATAGTATTAGTTTGTTGTTGTGGAGGGTCAAGGAAAGGTTTATATATAGAGGGAAAGTTTCTTTGTTGGTTGCCAGGGATGGGAGGGGAAGGGAGGACACTGAAAAAAAAAAAAAAAAAAAGCATTGACCCATGTGACTTTCGTTTTGTGTATTTCACTGTACATAAATTATATTTCAATAAAATGCATTTTTAAAAATAAGGAAGTTTCACACTTCTCTATCTCAAAACCTCCTGTACACATCACAATAGTTAAAACAACACGGTACTGGTACAATGATAGGCACATACATCAATGGAACAGCACTGAGAACTCAGAAATAAACCCATCCACCCATGGACTGCTGATCTTTAACAAAGGGCCAAAACTCCTTAAGCGGGGAAGAAATAGTTTCTTTAATAAATGCTCCTGGAAATGTGTATATCCATTTTCAGAAAAATGAAAGAGGAACCATATCTCATACCATATGCAAAAATGAACTCAAATTGGAACAAAAGCCTGAATGTAAAACCCAGAACCATGAAGTCCATCAAAGGCAAAATAAGGACAAACATAGAGGCCCTAAGTCTGGGCATAAATACACTGAAATATACCTAAAAGCACACAAACAGCAGCACACAGAATAGATGACTTGATCCTCCTAAAAATTAGACGCTTATGCACATTAAAGACACTGCCATTGAGTACGTTCTAACTCATAATGAATCCCATTGGGTTTCCAAGGCTATAAATCTTTAAATTTCACCAAAAGAGGGAAAAGAGAACCCACAGACTGGGAAAAAAAGATTTTAAAAAATGGCAATGACATATCAGACAAGGGCTTAATCTCTAAAATGTATAGAAAACTTCAACAATTTAACAGCAAAAAGACAAATAATTCAATTAAAAAATGAGCAGAGGACATAAACAGAAACTTCACCAAAGAACATCTTCAGGCAGCTAACAAACACATGCTCTTGATCATTAGCCATTCAAAAAAACCTCACAGATATAGAGTTAATTCTGACTCATGTAACAACCTCCATTGGGTTTCCAAGCCTGTAAATCTTCATGGCAACAGATTGCCTTATCTTTCTCCCATGGAGTGGCTAGTGGGTTCAAACCACTGACCATTTGGTTAGCAGCCAAATGCCTTAATCACAGCACCACCAAAGTTCCTCATTAGCCATTAGAAATATACAAATCAAAACAACAAGATATCATCTCACCCCATCACAGATAGCAAAATTTGAAAAAAAAAAAAAAAAAAAAAAGTGCTGGCGAGGGTGTGGAGAGACTAGACACTTCATACTCTGCTGGTGGGATTGTAAAATGGTGAAACCACTGTGGAAAACAGTATGACATTTCCTCAAAAACCTGGAAATAGCAAAGCCGTATGATGCAGCAATCCAACTGCTAGGTATATATCCCAGGGAAATAAGAACTATGACATGAACAGATATACGCACACCCATGTTCATCACAGCACTAGTCAAATAGAAAAAGAAACAACCTAAATGTCCATCAACAAAGGAATGGATCAACAAACTATAGTGCATACATACAATGGAATAATATACATTAGAGAACAATGATGAATCTGCAAAATATCTTCTAACATGAACCAACTTAGAGTCCTTTATGGTGAGTGAAATCAGTCAACCACAAAAGGACAAATATTCTATGAGAGCATTGTTGTAAAAAGTCAAGAAAAGGATTTCACAAAAAAAAACAATATTCTTTGATGGTTACCAATTGTGGATGGGGAAGTGAAAGTAAACCACTAACTAGAGGTTAGATACATACAAACTTGGGTGAAGGAAGAAAATAAACAAAACAATAATCTGAGGTTCAATAAATAAATAAATAGATAGTCCTTGGGGAAAGTAGGGTATACATATTGATGGCTGAGGTTAAGAAACAAGAAAAAATGATGCTCAGGGATTTCATAGAATGCTCATAAATGTCAAATTCTCAGAAATTCATTTATACCAGCAAGCCCACTCAATGAATTCAGGTCAAGAAATCATGATAATATTCTTGCCACACCCAAATCTCTTCCTTCCTATGCTGGACTCTTCTGGATATTCTCCTTGCCTGGTAAACACTAATGGATGCAGATTACCAGGAGGAGGAAAAGAGACTAAGTCCTGGTTTATTTTTCAGCTTTAAACTGTCAAAATTGTTTGATGTGATTCCGTAATGCTCTGGTATATTAGAATTCACCTTCTACATTGTACTGAATTTCTTCTGGGTCATTTAGTCACTTATTTACTGAGTGAGCACCAGGCACCATGTGCCTATGTGATCAAGTATATCATTAATCAGGAAACCATCCCTGACATTAAGATGTTTGTGATCCAGTTGGAGAAAAGTAAATATAAGCATGATAAATGTTACAATTTAGGAAGTGCACTGTGCAGTTGGAGCACATAGGAGGGACTTTCAACCCAGAACTGGAAAATCAGAAATGTTTCCTCCAGGCAGTATCATCTGAGCTGTGAAAGATGAATGAGTGATGTCTAATCACAGTGATGACAGAGCACGGATTCAGAAAGAGGAACAGAGGTGTCAGGCTGAGGAGGTGAGAGTTTTGGGGTGGTATTCTGGAGACCTCATGGATTTCTATAGCTGGAGCACAAGATTCAGATTGTGAAAGGGCCTTTATGACATGGAAGGGGCTCTGGTGGTGTAGTGGATAAGGCATTTCGCTGCTAATCAGAAAGTCACAGGTTCCAATTCACCAGCCACTCTAAGGAAGGAAGAAGGGGCAATTTTCTTCCATAAAGATTTACAGCTTTGGAAACCCAATGGGGGTTACTATGAGTCAGAATCGACTCAATGGCAGTGATATGGTTTTCAGTTTTATGTCATGGGACCAATTTTGGACTTCATCATAATTGAACTGATAGAAACCACCATCAAAAGTTCTGGGGTGAGGTTTGAGGGAGTTTACCCAAGAGAAACATACACTTTGATTCTCTCTTACACTATATCTTTTGAGGAGATTGAACTTTGCACCAGAAAAAAAAAAAAAAAAAATTGCCACAGATACAGATCATTACTCTCTAAATCCAGAATTTATTTTAACAACCTTATCAACTAAATGAGAAGATTTTCAAAGTTCATGAGATTATCCCTACATCTGCCTGCCACATGTGACATATATTTGGTTCTCTTTGTAGAAAAAGACCTGTTACTCATTAATATTTTTGAGAAAAAGAGGACCCTGACAAATATAGTCTGTCAAAGACTAGGTCACTTTATTCTAATGACATAATAGCCACTTGCCTAGGCTGAAAATGTATTCCTAACACCTACTTAAGAATTTCTTCACTAATGGCTTCTGTGAATTCAGGTTGAAGGGCTTTAATGGTACATTAGGGAAGAGTAGTAAAAATCTGAGAGAGATGTGAGTGCTGTTATAAAACTACAGTGCAGTTTTCTGATTGAGGAATACTGCTTACGATAATATTCTTTTCATGAGGACTTTAAAAACTCTATAGGCCATTCCTCCAAGTATTCACCAGCAGACTACCCACTTTTTTAATGCCCTTTCTGATTCTATGGATAGATACTAAATACTTAAATCTACTGTAGACATTAAGGATGAAAAGAGAGACCTGGTTCAGAGGCCAGTTCTTTATGAGTTCTGTCACCTTAGATTAAAGTTCCTTAAACTCCTTGACCTAAATTTTATGATCTGTAAATTGAAGATATTAATGATAACTGTCTCAAAGATTCACTGTGAGAATTTACTAAGACTGTGAGTGATGAGGTGCTAGTACATTGCTCCAACTCTACTTAGCAATTCTTAAGCATTTTTATTTTTACCTGTTAGTTGTGCTGATTTGTTTGTTTTATTATGAACACTTTTCTCTTTCCTCTTGACTCCCCTAGGGATATGAAGCCTGACAATATCTTACTTGATGAACATGGTAAGTTACAGATTTATTTGCAATAAACTACCTGACATACATGTAGAACAAGCTGATTGTTCTTTAGAAAGGAGTATTATACATAAGAAAGGATGACTTGATTGACTCAGCTGAATTTGTGTATAAATCTCATTTTATGGATGGGAAGGGACAATAGGAAAGAACTTTGTTATTTAGATCACTGGCATAGTACACTTAACACACCCTTGTTAACATGGAATTTACATAATGAAAAGTCATTCTCTTTTCAATTTTATTTCTTTTACTGATTGCTCCAAGAAAAGCATCACAGTTTGGTGGTACTAGTTTGCCTTTAATATCTTTATGGCCCTTAATCACCTTTATTTTCATAAAGACAGAAAAGGACTCAAACTTAGAGTATCTGACAGTCAATAGTATCTACCTAAAAATTAATGACATGATTTTGTCTCATTTCATCTGCTCTTATGCTTTCCTTCTTAGCAGGGCAATTTGGTTTTACATTTTCAGAAATGATGTCAAATTTTCTATCCAAAACATTTCCAGTTGAATTGAGTCAATCGATTAAAAGGAAAATAAAAAAGAGATATACTATACTATCATTCCTAGATGTGAGAGTAATATGGGGATATGCCAATAGTTTTGAAGGTGACAAATGAAATACCTAAAATTCAGAAAACACCGAGTGAAAGTATTCTGTAGAACAGAATTATGAAAGCAATGTTTACATGTGTATCATCTTTTCCTTATGTTTATTTTAATGTAATTTGGATTTATTGGTCCTTCAGGGAAGACCTGTGTGACACGACATACAGCCTGCATCGTATAACTGTTGCAGTGGCAATATAATCCTTATTACGTATTTTAAAAGCTGCTCAAGGAAGGAGTACAGAATCTGCAAAGCTCCTTATGCATTTGATTCTTACATAAGGGACTTGGAAGTGGAATTGAAACTCCACATACCACAGTGCATTATTTATTTACTTACTTGAATCTTAAACCTTATTTACCAGAACCCACCTGTGCTCAGGGACTAAGCAACTCTTCTGTGGATGACCTCTCATTTCATAGCTCAGGGTCATCATTTATTTATGGACTGTCTAAAAGATTTTTTCCACTTTCTTGCAATGCTTCATTTCCTCCTTCCCTTTACTGCTTCTGACATTTGGGAATAGATTCTCTGAATTGCAGAAATGTGAGCAATGTGAGACATAGTATGAAGGTGACTTTCATTAAAGCACCAGCTATCCCTACCTTAAGCAGGAAGCAGGAGAGAAGTCTCATGAATAAATTCTAGAGAGCTTCACAATTGTGAAGAAGGCCTCCCCTAGCCTATGTTGTCTGGCATTGAGTCAATTCCAACTCCTAGTGACCTACAAGACACAGTAGAACTGTAATTTAGATTTATTGGTCCTTCAGGGAAGACCTGTATGACACACAACCTGTATCATGTAATTGTTGTAGAGGCAATACAATCCATTACAATCCCATAAGGTTTCTTAGGCTGTAATCTTTATGAAAGCAGATCACCAGGTCTTTTTTTCTATAGCACCATCTGTGGGTTTGAACAGTTGACCTTTTGTTAGCAGTCAAGCTTTCAACCATTGCACCATGAGGGCTCCTTCTCCTGGGTTACAGAAGGAACATTTTTTACAACTTAGGAAAGGTTCTCCCAGTACCTAGTACAGCTTTATGACAGTGCATAGCTCATGAAGCATGGCCTAGGTTGGGGTTCAGCCCCCGTATTCCACCTCAACCAGGTGCCTATCCGCATATTGCCTATTGTTCCAGCATTTTTAAAGGGCCTGAATGTATTCATATAGATTCCATCAATCAAAACCTTTTAAAGATTTACCCTCCATTCAGAGAATGAAAAACCAAAACCAGTTTCCACTGAGTCAGTTTTGACTCATGAGAACCCCATATTTGTCAGCTTAGAACTGTGTCCTGTAGGGTTTCCAGTGACTGGTCTTTCAGAAGTAGATCACCAGGACTTCCGTTGGACTTGAATGTCCAAACTTTTGTTTAGTAACCTAACTTGTTAAACGTTTGCACCATCCAGCAACTCCATTTAGATAATAGTATTTTAATAGTATTTGTCAGACATGGCTTCATCTTATATCTACCATGAAGTTATCCTGTTCTCTTTCATTCAATATCTTTTTCTTGGTCACCTTGATGACTGTAGATTATGAGAAATGTCAAGAAATCAGTTATCACCCTTGAAAACTACCTTAGTGTAATACTAATGATACAGTATAGTAGTTAAGGGGAGCACTGGACACTTACTTTCTCAAGAGTTATTTTGATTCCAGAATGGATGCACCAAAGATTCTCCTTGTCTACTTGTTAGACCTAGTGTTCAAACAATTTTGTTTATTTTCTCCTCAGTCAACTATATTTTCAGTAGCTAATTCTGATTTTATTTCCTGTAAGTGGGGGATAAGGCCATTTTCAGGATATTTTATTTTGGTGGGACCTCGGGAGTGTGACAGATCGTTCCAGTGTACACCTGCCATCTAGTGTATTATTAATAATGCCTCCTTTCACTCTCGAGTTTTTTGATTTGGACAATGTATTAAGAGAGAACTTTTCCATATTTTATTCCCACCCTGAACTCAACTTGAGAAGCGCCACAGGTAATAAGGGAAAAACTGCTTTGGGAAATGTGATCCTATGTGAATGGGATTGAAAGCCACTCTCTAAAACATTATCTAAAGGGTCCCTTTCTAGAGAGAGAAAAGAATGTTTTGAAGTTATTTTCTTTTTATTCAGATTCTGCAAATATGGTAGCTCTCAGGCATTGTTCAGGAACCATCAGTAACCATTTTCAAAGGAATGAATTCCTGACACCCACACCTCCCTGCCTTACCCCAACAAAAGCTCTTTGTGTGGAGTTGCTCTTGTGAGAATCAGCTGACCCACAAATCAGTGCCTGCCTTTGGGAGTGCGATTTTCCGTGGGGACCTCATATTTGAAATCTTTGTTTGTTTTTGCTGTCCACATTTAAAATATTTCTACCCTGATGGGCCACTGTATGGGCCCCATGCATGGGCCCCATGCATGGGGATTTTCACAACTTTGAAAGATAACCACCCATCACTTTGGCATGCCTCCTACACCCATCCCCCCAAGTGAGTTGGCTATTATACCAAGTTGCTAAGAGTTTAATTCAGCACCATTCTCAACTCATCTCACCAATTAGATGATGCTATTGCAGAGATGCAATAATAACCAGAAACTATTTTATTCATATTGATTCATACTCATCAGAAAAGACTGGCATTTAAAGGAAGCTAAATCCTTTTGTAAAGTGGAGAATATTTCCATGGTGTAAATGAACATTCCTTGTATTTGAATTTGACTTTTTTTTTTTTTTTTAAATACTTTTAAAGTAGAACATACCTGTTACAATTCTTACCAAGTGTTTCATTTACTAGTTCGGAGCCCAAGATGGCATTAGGACTAGATGGGCAAAGACTCATTTGAGCTCTTCTGATCTATATTTTCATATCCTACCAAGGTTGGGCAATCCTACTTCCGTAGTGATACTGCCTCGGAAACCCAAGGAGGGGTCGCTATGAGTCGGGGCCGACTCGACAGCATATAACAACAACAACAACAACCAATTTAAATACCCATCCAACCCTATCAATTCTGTAATGTCTATAATTTTTATGTTTTGTTAAAGTATTCACAAGAAAAAAAAAAAAGTTGCACCTAAAGGAACAATAATGTCCACCTCGTATGAGAGAAAAATAAAAATTACAGCATCATCTATAATTTAGATTTCTTAATATCTTCATGGACACAAGGAAAAGTTGTTTTTGTTGTTAGGTGCCATTGAGTTATATATGACTTATAGCAACCCTATGGGCAAAAGAGAAGAATGTAAATTGCCCAATCCTGGGTCATCCTCACAATCTTTGCTATGCTTGAGCCCATCATTGCAGTACTGGGTCAATCGATTTCCTTGACGGTCTTCTTCTTTTTCTCCACCCTTCTCTCTGCTTTATCAAACATGATATTCTTAATCCAGGGACTGGTCCCTTCTGACAACATGTCCAAAGTACAAGGGACAAAGTCTGGCCACTTTTTCTTCCAAGGAGACTTTGGGTTGTACTTCCTCCAAGACAGATTTATTCATTATTCTAGAAGTCCGTGGTACATTCAAAATTTTTTGCCAACACCACAATTCAAATGCATCAATTCTTCTACAGGCTTCTTTATTCATTGTCCAGCTCTCACACGCATATGGGGCTATTGAAAATCCCATGGATTGGATAAGGCACATCTTAGTATTCAAAGTGATATCTTTGCTCTTAAACTTTAATGAGGTCCTTTGCAGCAGATTTTCCCAATGCAATGCATCATTTGATTTTTAAACTTCTGCTTTCATAGGGATTGATTGTGGATCCAAGTACAATGAAATCCTTTAAAACTTCAGTCTGTTCACCATTTATTGTGATGTTGCATATTGGTCCAGTTGGAAGGATTTTTGTTTTCTTTATTGAGAAGTAATCCATATGGAAGGCTGTAGTCCTTGATCTTCATCAGTAAGTCCCTCAAGTCTTCTTCACTTTCAACAAGCAAGGTTGTATCATCCGAATATCACAGGTTATTTATAAGTCTTCCTCCAGTCCTGATGCTACCTTTTTCTTCAAATTGTCTTGTTTCTTGGATTATTTGCTCAGCATTCAGATTGAATGTTGTTGTTGTTGTTGTTTGC